ACACACACACACACACACACACACACACACACACACACCCCCTAGCATAGGCACGCACAATTTACGAGGTTTATTTGGTGACCAGCAACCATGCAAATGGTATCAGGGGCCTCCTGCAATGAATACCTGTTGGGAGGATGGAGGAGGACCTGGTGGGGTAAGGGCAGGAGCAAAGCTACAGACTGTCCCTCTCACCTCACAGTCACTTTCTCACCTCCCCCAGGGCTGGACACACATGGAGGCAGCAGCTGTGTGGGGAGCCGCCCAGCAAGCGAATGGGCGGTCCCTCTACGGTCAGGGTCTGGAGGACTTGGAAGCCAAGGCGCCCCCCAGACCCCAGGGACAGGAAGCAGAGACTCCAGGGAAGGTGACTGGGCCCGGTACCTGCCAATCCGTAAAGGGGTGGGGATTAGGGGTCAATAGCCCAGGGAGAGGCCAGGAAAGGGAGACTTGTTCTCTTGGGCAGGGGCAGTGCCCTCCAGGAATCACCTGCTCCCAGCACTTCTCAGCTTTTCCTTGTCTGCCTGGGGGTCTCTGTGACTCTGAGATGCTCTGAGCAAGGCTTGCATGTGGTCTGCGTGTGTGTATGTGTGTGTGATCATGCAACTCTGACTCTGCACGGTGCTGTTGGTTGTGCTGTGCCATGATAAGTGTACATGTGTGTGTTGATAAGAGTAGGAGGTCTGCAGCCGGCAGAACATAGCTCGAGCATGTGTGTGGCCATGTGCCCGGCACATGCTCTGTCACTGTAACACCCAGTGACACGTGACAGAGCATGCCCCAATGTGTCTGCTTTAAGCTGTGCATATGAGTGAGTGTGGGTGGTGTGTGCCTCTCTGTGTGACTGCAAGGTTGGACATGCCTGCGGAGGAAGGGGCTGCAAGCTGTGGATGTGCTCACCATGAATGCCCTGAGATCAGGATGTCACCCAGAATACTTGTGGCTATTAAAAGAAGGCCAGCTGTCGGCCCAAGTGCCTATGGAACGGAATGTCGATGGCGATTAGAGAAGGCCATATTCTAGAACACTGGAAATGTCGTGTGCACAGGCTCCCAAGCAGCCCTTCGCCCCAGCTGACAGCTCCCCATCTGCCCCTCCTGTCACACCCACACAACACCCCCAGCTCGGCTCCTGGGCTCTCTGGCTTCCCTAGCTAGTCCAAGGCCAAAGGCACGTTCCTGCCTTCCTTCCTTCCTGAGTGCTGTGTCCCTGTGCATCCAAGAACGAAAGTCCTGGGCTGTACCTGCAGTTGGGTAGCCTCAGCCTCTCTCAGCATTCCCCCTGGGGGCACCGCCCCCTATCCTGGAGCCCAGGCACTGTGCATGCCATAAATGCCAGGACAAAGTCCTGGCAGTGACCCCCAGGCTGGCCAGGCACTGATGAAAGACACAGTGCCTGTCTTGGAGGGATAGGCTGGGGTGGGGTGCTGGGCAGCCATCAACAATCACCACACACATGTGATAAGCGCTGCCAACGAGGTGTGAGCACGCAGGGTACTGAAAGCAGAGGCAAGTCTCTGAGGCTCCCCAGGAAGGTAGAGGTGAAGCAGGGATCTGCAGGCAGCAGGGATGGGGAGTGGGGGTAGCACTGATCTGTCCAGGATGAGGATACAGCCTGTGTGACTGTGCAATCACAGGGGCACAGGGGAGGGAGCTCAGTATGTCCTGGAACAGGATGTCTCTCTGTGACCCTGAGAGCAGCCTGAGGGACCCTGGGGATTGGCAGTGGGGGACATAGGACAAGGGAAGACGGGCCGGAGGTGGTAGGAGCAGTGGGAAGGCAAGGCCCCATCAGGGACTGGCTTAGGTGTCTCCAGACCTGACCTAGGGACAGGAAGCCCTGGGAGGGGGTTGGTCAGCTTTGCAGGGTGAAGACTAGAGGAAGGAAGCACTGCAGGGCAGGCAACGAGTGACCCATTTAAGGGCAGCAGGAGCCGGGGTGATGCCAGAGTCTCCACATGTGGAGGAGAGGAGAGGAGAGGATTGGGTAGTGGGGGTGAGGATGAGTTCAGTTGTGACCCCGGGAGTCAAGAGCCCAGGGAGCATCCCAGGAGATGCTCTGCAGGCAGTGTTAGGCGTTACTGGCTCCTACTCTGGGATGTGGACTCTGGGAAGGCCCATCCCTGACCCAGCACACAACCTGGCCCTTCCTTGCAACCTCCCCACCGCTCGATGACCCAGCATGTGGCGGGTCATCGGGAGACTGCTCCCAGTGAACTGCTCCTCAGCTAAACAGATGCGTGCTGTTTGTTTGCAGACCAAGGGGCTGCTCCCCTGCAAGGACTCCAGGATGTAGGACACCCACTGGCTCTCCCTTTCTTCTGGGACACATCCAGCACCCCCATGTCTCCCTCATGTACACAGACCCAGGATTACGCTGTGAGCCTGCAGGCTTTGGAAGTGGCCCTGTCACCCGTGCTGCACAGGATTCGCAGCCCTAGTCCCATGTCCTCTCTCCACACCTCAAAACTCCTGCCCCACAACGTCCTCCGCACCCACTTTCCAGCTCAGCAGCCGCATCCCAGGCCCAGCCTGAGGGGTGTGTGCCCAGGCTCTCCCGCTTCCCGAGTTGTCTGCCTCTCCTCAAATGCTGTGTGCTGCAATTGTCCAGGCGATGACAATGGTGATGGCTCCAGAGAACACACCAGCTATTTATGAGCCTCTGTCCGCAGGCTGGGCCTGTCACTGGCATAGGAAGGCCAGCTCCGCATCTCCCACTGCCAACAGCTGAAGCCGAGCACAGACCTCCCTTTGCACACTGGAACGGTTACTCACCTCTGGCTTCTTCCCCCAGCGCACCGTTCCACTGTGGCCCACATTCTTGTGCACACGGGCATTTGCAGGCACGCTCTTGCATAGTTACCTATTTGAATGCACACCAAGCACATGCGTGCACACTCTGCATCTGTAATTCATTTCATGTAATGGAATGAATAATTTCATGTAAGCTCCTCCCAGGGCTGTGTGGATCTGACAGGGTATAGGAAAATAAAAAGTGGAGAAGGTGTCTTCAGACAAAATATGGTCTCTACCTGTTGGTGCTATTATGGGAGAGAACCAGGGCCTGGCCTCTGATGCCTCCAGCAACTTCACTTCCTCTCCTCCCTCTGTCCCCACTCTTGGGACTCTCACTCTCAGGCCCACCTCAAACTGCAGGGAGCACAGCAGAGAAGGGACAAAGGCCAGGCTGGCCTCCGTCCCCACTCACTCCCCAGTGAGCCACTGAGCTCCGCCCAGCGCATGGGTACCAGCTGCTCTGACTGGCTTCACGTCTCCCGAGGGAGGCAGATGGAGGGAGGCCGGCCTTCGCCTTTAAGAGCACTCTCCTGCCACCCCTCCCTTTCCCCAGAGGCGAGCTTCATCAGGCAGGAGCCAGAGGCCAGAGAAAGAGCGTGCAGCTCCAGGTACAGCCTCCCCCAGCTCCCTGGCCCTGGGGGTGGGCGCCTTCCTTCTCCCACACTGGTTATGCCCTGCTGCTGGGTCCTCTCCAGCCTGGCAGGATGGACAGACACCCCTACGAAAGGGAATAAGGCTGGAGTTAGGGATGGATGACATGGGGCTTTGCAGAGAGGGACAGGGAATGGTACGGGGGAGGGACGCTGGCCATGGACTGCTGGCCTCCTGGGCTGGGCTGCGTGATATAGGATGAAGGAGGTGATTAAGCGGGGGAAAGGACAGTCTTCCTGGCCTCTTCCGCTCGATAGTTTTGTGACTTTGGGCAAGAACAAAACAACCCCGTAATATGGGTGATCCTACCTTGCACCTTGCATGTGCCAGGCCCCAGGAGTGAGGCTGGAAGCTGAGAAATGACTCATACCTAGGCCTCTACTGACTCCTGAGGGTCCAAGCCAGAGCTCTCCAAGAGGGCCAGCAAGCAGCCAACCCAGTTGCCTCCCCTGAGCCTCAGTTTCTCCAACCAAGGAGCCAGGGTGGGCCTTGATCTATCTCCAGACCACATAGGGGCCTGAGGTCTTTCTTGGGGAAGGGGTTGGCCCAAAGACCACACTGGCAGAAGTCCCAAGGTGCTGAGGCCCCCCACCCAGAACACACTGTCTCTGGGGTACAGGCTGAACATGCCACACGTGCTTCCCCCTCCTTGCCCCTCCTGGCCCTGTGTCGAGCAGCTGAGCAAATGGCGTCTCCTCCCTTCTCCCTGCCCCCTGCCATTCCTGCGCAAAGGGCACGGGGCCTGGCGTGTGGCACTGGCAGCTGGAGCTTTCCATGCTGCCGTCAAGTTTTCCAGAGCACAAATAAGACAGGAGAGCCAGGAATAACTGGCTGGGCCCCCAGAGGGTCTGGAGGGGATGGGCCTACCTCAGACCTGCTTTCAGACCCTGTGCCAAGGGGTGCAGGCAGAGGGCCAGCTGCCCAGGACCAGGGCTTTGGGAGGCTTCTGTGGCCATTGGGAGCCCATTATCTGGCATGCATCCTGTAAGAATCAGCCCGGGCTCCAGTGTGGCCCGGGTCCACTCCTTGTGTGACCTTGGAGAAGTCATTTAACCTCCCGGAGCTTTGTCTCCTGTGGGTCCAGGTGGCAGCTTCTCAGGATCCCAGGGAGTGAAGGGCGCATGCTGAGGCTGGCTATGCCCGGAGCTGCTGCTATTATGATCATTTTTATGGCTGGACAACCCTGGGCCAGTCACAGACCAGCTGCAGGCTCAGTTCAGGCCAAGCCACCTCCAGGACCCCACACTGGAAAAAGTACAACCCCAGAATCCTGGGCAGGGACCACATGGCTGCAAAGCCCCTGCCCAAGGGAGCTCAACCCCTGGTCTTCTGAGCAAGAGGATGGGTACCACGGAGCAGGAAGAGCGAGTGTCTCCACTCTCCAGAGGACACAGGAGCAAGGAGACCAGAGCATTCTCACCAACCTGGTTAGTCCCCCTTCCTCCCCCCTGGGGGGTGCTGGGTGCCGGACACCCCTCCCCAGGGGCTATATTAGCCGTGTGAGTCACGGTGGACCGGCTGGGAGGCCGCGGGCGGGCGGGACAGTGTAGGGTTACAGTCCATTTATGGGCGCAGCCGAGGGCAGATATCAGTGTCGATGGCATTCGCTCCCAGCTATTCTTAGGAGCCTCTCAAGAGCTCCACGCAGCCCAGCTGGGCAGCAAGGGACAGAGCAGGCAAGGCCGGGGGGCAGGGGCAGGGGCAGGGGCAGGGGCAGAGGTGTGGACCGGGCAGGCAGAGCGCCTGAGTGCCCTCTCACTCAACCCTCTCTACCCTTTGTCTGCAGAGGCGGCCGCTGACAGCACCAGCATGTCTTACAGTGTGACCCTGACTGGGCCTGGGCCCTGGGGCTTCCGTCTGCAGGGGGGCAAGGACTTCAACATGCCCCTCACTATTTCCCGGGTGAGTGCACCCTGCCACAGCCTGGCACCCGATGGGGCGGGCACGCTGTGTGTCTGTCTGTCTGTCCTTTCTGAGCCTCTCAGAAAGCAGAGCATGCCCCATCCCCTGGGACTGGCCTGGTCCTCTGGTCTCAGCCACAGCTGTTTGCTCACAGGAGCCCGCCGGCCTGTTATGCATGTGAGACATCATGAGCAGGTGGTAGGTGTTTTTAGCAGAGAAGAAAATGCTGAGTTTTCAGGCAGGCAGGCAGGTAGCTGGACAGAGTACAGCGCCTTCCTGATCCCTTCACTGTTAGAGTGGGCTTAGGGTGCCCCCAAGCCTTTAGCATTTCCCTAGATGTGGGCAGCTGCTTTGGGAAGGGAGCATTCCCAACATGGAGAGGGCAGGTGATGGGCAGTTGGATAGATGGACAAACAGGCTGCTGACCTTGGCTGTCCTGCTGTCAGAGTGTGGGGCTGGGCTGGGCTGAGTACTGGGCACCCGCTCCATCCCAAACTTGAGACACCAGCACCCTGGCTCATGGGGCTGGGTGGTCCTCCCTATTCACCATGGCTGCTTTGTCTGTCTCACGACTTGTTCCCCGAAAGCGCTGGGGCCTGGTGAGATGGCCCCCTGTCCTGCAGTGTCTGTGATGGGGAGCAGCATGGCCTAATGCAGATGACACAGAACATCGGGTTGTCTGAGTAACTCTACCGCCTGGCTGGAGACAGCAACACCAGAGAGGCAGAAAGCTAGCCATGCTCCCAAGGAAGCACTCCAGGAACAAAGACTGACGGGGGAACAGCATCTAGACTGTAGTAGGCGCTCCGTCAGTATTTGTCAAACAAAGAGACTCCCCGGCAAGGCACTGGTAGACCCAGGGCTGAAGACCCCAAGGCTCAGGATGAACTGTGAGGCATACAGGGCAAGGACAACCCTGCCTGGTGGCTGAGCCCCTGGCCGTGCTGTTCTGGTCACAAGGCAGGAGCAGGAGGCTCCCAGGCTGTCACCGGAGGGTAGTGGGTGGGCAGGGGTATCTGGGCTACTGCCCCACTAGGGGAACAAGGGGACAGTTTCTTCTCTGGGGCCTTTGGGACTTGCCTTGGGCCTGGGGGCTGGAGGAAGGGGTTGGAGGGGAAGCACGGAAGTGGGCAAGGCCTGAAGGTGCTTGGCAGAGGGACCAGGGAGCCTGGGCAGAGGGTCAGGAGCCAACGCCACCACTGGAGAAGTAGTCTCTGTTTTTGGTTCCATGGGTACTTGGGGGAACCCCAGAAGTAGAAGCCCCACCCAGGGATGCTGTGAGAGCCTTATAATAGCCATAGAGGCCACATGCTTCCAGGGTGGGTGCTGGCCTGGCTCTGGCACAGGGAACAGGCCCTGCCCTCCATCCTTCAGTTGGAGATGTGGCTTGTTCTAACCTGGAGACTCCACCCCTCCAGATCTACTGCCCTGGAGACCACAGGGTCCTGGAAACCCACAGCTTTGCACACTTTGCATGAGGTGGCGACCTGTGGGCATGTGAGCCCCAGTGGATTTCCCACTGTCCTGCACAGCTCCCCACCCCCATGCTTGCAGGACTCCTTCCTGTACAAGGTGGAGCCTCTGTGTGCTCTCTCATGGGCCCTGTGGCCTCCCCTGCCTGAGACTGAGCCCACATCTCCCCCAGCTCCACCATCTCCAGGCCTCCTGCTGGTGCTCCCTGCCCTATCCCTATGGGTGCAAATTGGCCACTGGGCTCACTGGCACTCAGGATAGCCAATGACTTCACCCAGGGTCTATGTGCCACCTGGCCTCAGCCAGCCAGGGGCTTAAATGGCAGCCCAGAGGCCTTAAGCTAGATAACAGGAGGAATGTCCTTACTCCGGGGAGGGGGTATGCAGGGATGTGCTGGATCCAATGACGGGGGGGACTTTTAAAAATAGAACCCGAAGCCCAGGCAGGGCACTGGGGGATGGGCATGATGGCCTCTCGGCTTCCTTTAGGGGCATACCCCAAATCACCTGAGCTATGGAGCAGGCTGGACTGGGAACTGGAGCCCTTCCCAGGGCTTGGAACTTCTTGAGAAATTTTGGTGGTGGGCTGCTGATAGCCTGGGCTTGTGTCCTGGTTCCGTGCTGCTGGCAGGGCAGGCCTTGTGGACACAGCCCTGCCATCCCACCAGGGCTGTAGGATTTACTGCTGGGGCTCGCAGGGCCCTTCTGCACCAGGGACATCCCCTTACGGGGGAGGCATGGCCAGAGCTCTCTGGAGGAACTCCACTCCCACCCCAGCCAGGACCTGAGCCTGTGCCATAGGGCACCATAGGCAAGAGTGTGTGACCCTGTGGGGTGGGCAGGCAAACGAGGCTGGGATCGTTACCTCACTTCAGAGCCTGGCAAACTGAGGCTGGAGTTTGCTCACAGGACAGGGATGGCCATGGGTGGATCTCCTGTGTCCTCTCACCCCAACTCCCGTGCTGGCCTGCTCACCCCTCTGACTGGGACTACTAGAGAGGCACCGGGGAGACCTGTCCCCTCTCAGCTGCAGGTGTGTGCTGCGGCTCCTCCTGGAAGGACACAGGCCACCTGCAGGCTGGGTGGTGGCTCCCGGGGGTCCATGGCAGCAACCTTGGGGCGGCAGCAACCTTGGGGCAGCAGCAGCCCCTCAAGGCCTCCCTTTAGAGGGTCTCCTCTTGCAGACTCACAGAGAAGGGGATTCAAGAGGGAGACTGGGAGCGGAGTGTGGCGGGGAAATGCCTTTATTTATCCTGGACAGGTGTGGCTGGGCCTGCAACATGAGCTGCCCTTTCACCCCACCCCAGCCAGTTCTCCAGGAAGTGGGGAGGGGGCAGAAGCGCAGAGAGGGAGCAGCTCCAGAGGCCCAGCCCGGACTCTGCCCTGGCAGCTGGCCAGAGGCTGGGACCATGGTCTGGGCTCTCGCCTCTTCACGCCTCTCATGCCCCCACCTTGGGGAAGACGAGTATGCTTTGTTAGGCTCTGCTGTTCTCAGCTGTGTTGCCTCAGAAGTCTGTTTACCTGCTCAGCCTCAGTTTTTCTCACCCTTAAAATGGGGGATAGCAGGCCAAGCGTGGTGGCTCGTGTCTGTAGTCCTAGCACTTTGGGAGGCCAAGGGGCGGACCACTTGAGGTCAAGAGTTGGAGACCAGCCTGGCCAACATGGTGAAACCCTGTCTCTACTAAAAATACAAAAATTAGCCAGGTGTGGTGGCGCATGCCTGTAATCCCAGTTACTCAGGAGGCTGAGGCAGGAGGATAGCTTGAACCCAGGAGGCAGAGGTTGCAGTGAGCTGAGATCGTGTCACTGCACTCCAGTCTGGGGAGTCAGGAAAACTCCCAATCCGGGGAGGCACAGCCAGTTGGAGCCACCCTGGCAGGCAGGGAGAGGCTTTTTGAATGAGGAGACGCCCGTTTATTTATCGGCCAAGGTGGAGTTGGGGAATGGGACCATGGGAAGACAGAAGGTTCCAGTGAGAGGGTGAGCATGAGCAGAACCACAGGGGAGGCCAGTCTCACAGAGTGAGACTCCATCTCAAAAATACATCAATAAATAAATAATGCCTTCCACACCTGTGGGAGCTCTTTCTAACAGGCACTTATGAAAACTTTCCACCTGGTGTCTACCAGGACAAGTTGTGAGACTGGTGGAATTGGGGGGCTGAGCCTGGGCCCAGGAGGGGCCTGCCTCTCTACTGGAAGCCCTCTGTCCCTAGGGTCTCAGGCACCCCACCTGCAGGCTCACCTGGAGCACCAGCCCAGAGGCCTCTCCTCCTCTGTGGGTTTCGGTTCCAGTTATATATCAGACTCTCCCAGCTGTGATGGGAACATGCTGAGGACAGAGGGTCTCTGGGGAGAGGAAGGGGGACAGGCTGAGACTATTCTGGGGTAGCTGTGCCAGCAATGCTTGGAATTTCGGGGCCGCTGGAGCATGCAGTGCTGTTTCTTGGGCAGCTCTTAGCAGTGCTGACAGGCCATGCTGTTTATAGCTGCACTGAAGGTCAGGCAAGCCTCCAAGGGCTTCTGTGGGGCTGGCAGGGGCCTCCCCGGCAACATCCATCTATCAGCAGGAGAAGATAAGCAGCCAGAGGCTTGGAGGCTCCCAGCTGGGGAATGTATTCTTAGAGGTCCCCCAGGCCAGGTCCTCCCTGCCGCTCGGAACTGTATCTAACTCTGTGAGGGATCCAAAAGGAGAGGACATGAGGCTATCTGGGTTCTGGGGAATGAATTGGACCCTTGGAGGCCTCCAGGCCAGGACACCGTGCAAGAGCAGCTGCATGAGCAGCCCCAGGGCTCCGGGGCTACAGGCATTGTGGGGTTGCCAGTGTCAGGACTTCAGGGCTATCTGAGAAAGACTGGGCCAGGCCCTGCTGGGGGATAGCTCCCCAATTCCCTGAGTCTCCTTCCCTTTCTACATCATCCCCTCTCTTTTTTTTTTTTTTTTTTGGTTGTAATCCCCTCTCTTTTTTTTTTTTTTTTTTTTTTTTTTGGAGACGGAGTCTCACTCTGCCGCCCAGGCTGGAGTGCAGTGGCCGGATCTCAGCTCACTGCAAGCTCCGCCTCCCGGGTTCACGCCATTCTCCTGCCTCAGCCTCCCGAGTAGTTGGGACTACAGGCGCCCGCCACCGCGCCCGGCTAGTTTTTTGTATTTTTTAGTAGAGACGGGGTTTCACCGTGTTAGCCAGGATGGTCTCGATCTCCTGACCTCGTGATCCGCCCGTCTCGGCCTCCCAAAGTGCTGGGATTACAGGCTTGAGCCACCGCACCCGGCCCATCATCCCCTCTCATCCAGAGGCTGCCCCTGACTGCAAAGACCCTCCCCCACGCAGAGCTCTCCCGCCCTCAAACGCAGCTTTGGCACCCCTTTGGGACCAGGCTCCACCTCTGCCCAGGAACCATCCTTGGATGCAAGAATGGGCCTTGCTGGGGGCCCCTGAGAGCCAGCGCCCCTGAGGGCATTTTACTGGCCACACCCAAGCCACAAATGGAACTGTGGACCTGGACAGGAGGAAGAGAGGCAGGAGAGACT